TATGGCTCAACCACGGCGCCCTCAGGGTAGGGGGCGCATGTGAGCCAAGAATTTGGTTGCATCTGATTCCATCAGAAAGCTCCTTTCTTTTCTTCATCTGCCAAGGGCAATCTACAGGTGTGGCTAACATACATAACACATTTTAAGATAATTTAAAATGCACTTAGGGTAATGTTGTGCTTCCAATGATGATATAAATGATAAGGAAGAGAGGTGAAGGTTGTGAAGGTTGATTTTAGAAATCGGATGCACCCGAGATTCGACTGCGATTCGATGGGCGGCACGGTGGCTGAGTGGATAGCACTCTGGCCTCTCAGCAAGAAGGTCCTGGGTTCGAATCCCGGTCGGACCAGGGCCTTTCTGAGTGGAGTTTGCATGTTCTCCCCGTGTCTGCGTAGGTTTCCTCCGGGTACTCCGGTTTCCCCTACCACTAAAAATATGTCCAATAGTTCAGGCATGTGCCTCCTGTACTGGCGACCCCGCTCCCATCTCTGTGTGGAGTGAGAGACAAATGCCCAAAATTAACAATTGTAAACCGCTTTGAGACTCAGATCTGCAGTGAAAAGGCGGTATATAAATAAAAACTTACTTACTTACTTACTGCAGCTAGCGAAACACATAAGGAGTCAATGGAGGAGACACCCGTTTGTTTTTACTTTTTAAAACTCATTGGACTTATTTCCAAATGGAGGATAACATATTTACGCTAAAATTATTATCTGGACTTAAACATGAAACTGGTCTGAACTGAAATGCTCTGTGCAGTTCATTTATAAGGTAAGAACCATAACACACTTTGAAATGTTCTTTTCACAAACTTTTGTATTTTGTATAAGCTAACAATGCGGGCATGAAACATATTCTGCTGTATCCAAACAAATTGTGACCAAGCCGCTCCGTAGGTCCTGTTGATTTATATGATATTCATCTGATTGGGGTGAAGCCAGTGCCTCACCAATCACCAACCTCACCGTGCGTCACTGGGCTACATCACCTCTGCTGCTGTGGCCCGTCCTACTCCACCCACAGGCTCCACCATCTCTGTTGCTATAGCCTGTCCTGCTCCACCCCCAGCGGCTACACCACCTCTGTTGCTGTGACCTGAAGTGCTGTTTCTTATTATTAATATTACTATTGTTAGCTGTTTAGAATTATCAATTTATATGTTTTGTTTGTGTGGATTGATGTCTTTTTGCTGCTGGGTTTGAATTTCTTCTATGGGGATCAAAAACGTACCTAAAAGTAAGTAAAAGGTCAAATACTCTACAAGACATGAAATGTACAGTACACCTGGCCAGCACGAATCATACAATCATTCATACAGACAGCACAAGTTGCCATACTGAGTTCAGTTCCTGAACAAGAAACGTTGGTGACACAACTAAAAAGATGCAAGCAGCTGACCATTATAGCCACTGGAAAGCCTAATTAGCCACATCCACGGCAGGGGAGTGAAGAGTGGGCAGCATTCCCTGGTGCCTTGCCTGTTCAACAAACACACTATCAGCAGGCTCTTCACACATCAGTGAACATCAATAGCACAGTCAGCCTGTAAGCGTCAACAAGGCCTGGTTGTTGACACAGACAGGGATAGGCTCTGGTTCAGCCCCCTGATTCAATCAAGGACCTCTGCAGACACCCTGCGATCTCTATTCTAGTGTCATCTCTATCACCTGTTGCCAAAGACTGCATGGAGTTATATGTTTGTTTGTCTATATATAAAACGGTGATCTTATCTTAAATATAAGGGCCATGATATGTGTGTGTGTTTTTGTTGCTGATGGTCATCAGTTGTGATCAAGTTTTGTTCCACCCACCCCCTAGCTATTAGACTAGAGTGAGCTAATGCCTCCCACCAGCTTCTCTTGTCTGTGTCACTCTCCTGCATGCTCTTCCTTCCTGGCTTCACTCAGAACTGTCCTTTCCACGTGTTTTAGCTCTCTCCATCTCATGTCACCCTGCCCCCTCCCTCAAACGCCTTCACCACCGATCAGTTCTCACACTTACACAAAAACACACACACACACGCACACACACACAAACCGAAGCTACCACAACAGTGCACAACCTCCCCCACACTCCAGCAAGCAAGTGTGCAAGTGCTCCTGGCTTGCCCTGACCCACATCTTGATATAGCCCTAAGTATGCTTACAGCTAAGTCCTGAAGACACTCCTGCCACTCTTAGCCTAATCAGGTCTGACCTGCTGTCGGCCCACTAGTTAGCCAGACTTGTCGGGCTGGCGGGACCATTAACATTACTTTTAAACCAACTCGTTTTGGCACCTTTTCTACCTTAGCCACTCGCAACACAAAATTAAATATAACGAGGGCTGGATTTTGTTCCATTTTTCTATTAATAGACCAAGGAATTATCCAATCTTTCAATCAATAATCTCGATGTACAAGTAGATACTTAACATTATACAGTATATATTGGTTTATAACCCAGGAGGAACCACCTGTAAATAGTTAAATCCGTTACAAATAGGGATGCACCGATTGTGAATTTATGGGCCGAAGGCCAATGTTTTTCTTTTTGTTATTTATTACTTGCGGGGGGTTTGCGCTACCATGGCGGCTTAAATTTTCTGTTTTTCTTCAGCTTGCATGCAATCGCTGTACACCGCCTCATGCTTGCTTCTCAAATGTCCAATGAGATTTGTTGTGTTAAATGAGTTTCTAGCAGTCCCCCCTCGTGAAATGTCATTGTAACACATTTTGAAAACTTCATAAAGCTGATCTTTTTCTGATACTGTAAATTATTGCCACACGACCGCCGCTATCTTCTTTGTTTCTTTGACTGTGTGCGGGGACACTCTCTACCGGTATCTCTTCACACGCGCCTACCATCGGCGAATGTCATTTTTATTTGCCAATGGCCGATGGTAGTTAACAGGGCAAACATCGGCCAATTCCAATGTTCAGCCGATACATCAGTGCATCACTAGTTACAAATGGTGACCTCCAGTCACACACAACTCACAACTTAATGCATCTGTCCAACAGTTCAATGTTTGTTGTACTTTTTGTACTATGTTTCTGTTCTCTAACAAGGAGGTGCTTGGCTAAATTAACAACACAAGCTTGATCCATGAAATCGATCAAGTTTTGAGGGGACCAAGATAACATCTAACAATTGATCCTTGCCTTGCGATGATCAGCCACCCTTCCAAAGAGCCACATATTCTCTAGGTCAGACAGCGGGCTGGGGGCCACAGAGGCCAATTTTGAAGTTATGTGAGACATCATAATTGGCATAGTTTTTATACATTTTCTCATACACGGATGTTACAGCCTTCAATCAGCCCCTCACTGATCCTCCTGCAGGTGGTGAGTCCACAGGTGGATGGCTGCTTTGTCAGTGGGGGCTTCAGGCAAAGTGGGGTTGGGTGTCTTGCCCAAGGACACAACGACAGGTTATGAGGGGGGATCGAACCCACAACAGTCAGGCCCAAAGACCAATGCTCTACAAACTGAGCCACTGTCGCCCCCACATCTGTTATTGATGACAATCTATCCGTCATCCATTTATTTAAAATTATCAACTGAATGAAAAGTAGCTCAGTTGGTAGAGCATTGGCCTTTGAGCCTGAAGATCGTGGGTTCCAGCACACCACAAGACCTACTTCATGATCAGTAGGTCTTGTGGTGACTGCTGTCGTTGTGTCCTTGGGTAGGACATTAACCCCACTTTGCCTGAAGCCCCCGCTGAATAATCAAGGCTTGTGTGGACTCACCACCTGCAGGAGGATCAGTGAGGGGCTGGTTTGCTGTGTACTGGGTGCAGCTCTGACTGCCACCCCCCCGACCCAGAAATGGATTAAGGGGAAGAAAATGGATGGATGGATACTGAATGAAAAGTCCCATGTGATTTTTAAAAAAATGATTTCTATAAATACTAAGCGGTTCAGACTTATACATGATTTAATGTACTTGCAATAAATGCTTTGTCCTTAAAAAAAAAAAAAAAAAAGTATATATATATATATATATATATATATATATATATATATATATATATATATATATATATATATATATGTGTGTGTGTGTATATATATTTATTAGGGCTGTTTACAATTTTTAATCAAGTTAATTAGAGCTTAAAAATGAATTAATCGTAATTAATTACATTTCACACTATCGATGATGCCATATTTTTCTGTAAATGGTTGTTTGAATAGAAAAGATACATGCCAACATAGTGTACATATGTCCTGTATTTGTTTATTATAACAAATAAGTGGCTCAGACCAAAACTATTGTTTCAAAACAGTCAGAAATGCAGAATGATTTTTGATTTGCTCACACCATTACTTTTGGGCACAACCAACAGGAACTGGTAGTGGAAGGGAAAATTAGGTACCCCAGCTTTAATTTAGCGAGTGCGCTTCAGGAGAAGACACGGAGAACACTGAGGCTCCGTTGTCCAGCTTCTGTGCTGTATTTTTTGTGTGCACCGGTTACACAAAGACACGCACATTACAAGCAGAGAATAGTTCTGTGCGTGTATGGTCTTGGATATGATCACGTTACGGCGGCGCTGTTCACCGTGATCACAGCCACTGGAGGTGGGAACTGCTGTCCAGAGCGCTCAGCTCGCAGAGTTCATACAGGTCACGTGTGTATTCTTTTAAAACTTGGATTCCCAGAGAGCCTACACTGTTGCCATCTCACACAAGCGTGTGTCCGCGGCATTCTGAGTGTTATTATGGGATGCATGGGCATGCGTCAATCGTGTTAATTTTTTAAACGCGATTAATGGAAAAAATCAATTAACGTGCGTTAACGCAATAATTTTAACAGCCCTAATTTATATATAATAATAATTAATTTTGACAGCCCTAATATATATATATTTATAAATAGATACACATTTTATATATATATATATATATATATATATATATATACATACAGTATATAATGTGCTTCCAAATGCAACAAAACAGAAATTATTCATCTGCTCTGTGTAAAGCTGCTGAGAGTTTGACACTACCTTGACTTGGAGGCTCGCAGCAGGCGCTTTCATGTCTTGTCCCCTCTCCTGATTGGACTCGCTCCAGGAACAGCTCGAATCTTCCTGTTGGGTGAAGGCTGCCTCCAACTGTGGCAGGATGTCAGGCAGGAGGTCATCATGAGCCTCCACAACTCCACTGTGCGCTTCTGTGCGTTGAAGATTTCCTTGGTATCCGTTTGTATTTGGAACTCCATAGTTTTGTCGCAGATCAAAAGACGAATGATTGGCCACATTGGGATAACAGCTTGCAGATTCACCAAACATTTCAGGCTTGTGGTTTCCATGTGAGCTGGCTGGGGGGCACGTGTTTCTGAAGCCATATTCCTCTCCTTGATTCTCCAGTGTCCTCATGTTGTGCTGGTCAGCAGCTGATGAGGAAAAGGGACAAACTGGCCCTGAAGAATTGTGCATGTTAATCCTTGAAAGGGAAGACTGCTGACTGAGACCAGGCACTTCTGGTTCGCCCGGATAGGAAGGGTATTGAGCCAGTGGGTATGAGTTGGATGTTGTTACATGGCTGGGGATGGGGTGCACCATCGACGACGTTTGAACAGAAAAGCCTGTATTTTTTGCACTAGCTCCTGCCATCAGCCGATAGTTGTTTTGATGCTGCAAACATGACCCACTCCCAGATTCATTTTTACAATCTAAATATGACTTATATGACAGAGGCCTAGAAATTTGTCTAGGATCCCCAATAGCTAAACTGCGTTGCTGATGCTCACTTCGGTGAATCTGCTGTTGATTCTGTGGTGGACATCCTTGCTGATACGTGAAAGCTTTATGTTGTGGATCTGAAGTAGACATATGATGTTGATAGTGTCCATGTGACTGCGGCTGCGTCATACATTGATGCTGTTGTGCAAGGTTGTGGAGGTGTGGTTGAGTCTGGTGTCTGACATGCATTTGCTGATTGTGCAGTTGTTGCTGGCAAGCTAGTTGTTGTTGTTGGTAAATGTTAGCATTCTGGTCTTGGTTTCCCCATATTGGACGTGTGCCATTAGAGAATAGACCATTCCTATGGCTCATTGTGGCATGATGGTATTGGCTGTGCTGCTCTGACCTCATGCCACCTGCACCACCACCTGAGACAGTGGTTCCCGTAAAGGAGTAAGCCCCAGCATTTTGTGGTTTCATACAAATATAGTGACCCATCTGTTGATTATAGCTGGACATGGTTTGATGGATTGGGGCAGAGGTAAGTGGTGGTGCATGGTCCTGGGATTTTTCACAATTTAGAGGATTATTATCTTGGATGGACTCAAACTCAGTGAGATTTAATTCATCCACAATCGATGGTCCGGAGGGGAAGGTATCCCCCTCTATTCCCTCTAAATCTCCAACAAAGAGGCTAGGGTCTTCAAAAAATTCCATGGCCAAATCCAAGAGGGGACCAAGCCTCTGGATAAAAGCTGGTCCAGATGAGTTGGCAGATTTACTGCATTACCATTGTAGTGCCACACTGAAATCAAAAGAAAAAAAACATGTGTTAACTATTAAACAAATCTTGTCGTTATTGTTGTTAAAATTCACATAAACTTAATGTTGCTATTTGAAAACCTGGAGCTGACTATTATGTATGAGTACTGCCTTTCAAGTTTGGCATAACAGCTGGTGGAAAAGAGGCAGCAGCCAAGAGCAGGTGCCTCTTCCTGTGCAGCCTTCTCTTTACACAAACACACTGCACCTCTACCCCCAGAACTGCAAATGAAGCCTGCCCTGCTGCTGCACTCTGAGTAGGAGGCACATACAGCTGATAGAATTTCAACAGGCAGGCGCACAGGCAAACAGGCACGAGGCCCTGCACAAGGTCCTTTGTGTGTTCGTGTGAGCACTGTGCAACCACAGACCAGAGGAAGATGACAGTGAGTACTGAGGTCAGACATTATGCTGCTCACAAACTGGAGCTGCACTCACAGGATACAACGGCACCACTCTGTCTACAGATTGTTTCTTTTTACTGCTCTATCAAGTGTCAGGTCAAGCATAAAAACTCAAAAATAAGACAAAAAACTATATTAATCATATATATCATTAATCTATTTAATTTTTAGATTTTTAGAGACCCTATAATCCAATGTGTCCTGGGTCTTCCCTGTGGGTCTTCCCTGGGGCCTGCCTGTTCTGGGGAAGACTTGTGCATGTTAATTCTTGAAAGGGCAGACTGCTGACTGAGACTGGGCACTTCTGGTTCTCCTGGATAGACAGATAGATACTTTATAGATCCCCTGTAGGAGAAATTAACACATCCTTCCATAATACAAACAAAACAAATCAATACATAATCTTAAAAGTAGCTAACAATAGTAATAAAAGATAGGAAGAGTATTGAGCCAGTGCGTATGAGTTGAGCAGAATCTAGTCAAACCTCCTCTCGGATGACTGAGATCATCACCCTAAAGGAGTGCCCATTTTAGGAAGGACCTCTCCACCACCTGGAGAGGGCAAGGCACCATAATCCGGTCGAGCACCATGGCTTCAGTATTTGAGGAGCTGATATTCATCCCAGCAGCTTCATGTGTTCATAAAACAGTGAACAGAACCAGTGACATAGGCTGCCCTCTCGAAGGTTAAAATGCGCTGGAAACAGGTCTGATTTAGCCTGGCCTAAGCCATCTGTAAACTCTGGTTGATTATTATTTACCAACATGTACGTCTGGGTCTGATCTTAGTGGCTGCGGTTTACCTTGGTTGAATTATGGTTACATATGTCACGGAAACTCAGATCCAATCGTTTCAATCTGCAAGAGAAGTAAACCCCTGCCACCTGTTAACGGAGCACAATGGAGCAAATCCAGACCTTAGTACGATATGAAATTAGTATGATGGTGTGGTAGGACCAGGCTAGGTCCGATTGGGTCTGGCCCCCAATGCGAACAAAGCTCTGAAGCCTATGCGTCGGAAAGCTCCACTGCTTATAGAGATAATCATGTTTGTAAACCATGTGCCAAGTTAGGGCTGGGCAATAATTAAAATTTAGGCAATTAATCGGCTATTGAAAAAAACGAATGTGAAAAATTTGAAAATCGTGAAATTGAAGGATATTGTGAGAGTTCCAGCAGCACATGAATTATGCTTGCAATATCAGCACAGTCTGTACAAGACTTTTATCATATGTATTGGGGGAAGCAAATTAAAAATAGTTTTGAAACTTGAATATTGAGCGGAAAGACCCAAAAATATTTTTAAGGGCAAAGTTGGTCTTCGGTGACTTTAATGAAAATCAATTTAAAATCGAAATCGTCCAAAGCAGGAAATAAAATCGAGATTTTACTTTTTTGCCATATCGCCCAGCCCTATTCCAAGTCCTCAATTAAGGCCAATGCGAGAGTGCAGACACCCCTATGCTTTACTAGAATGCTCGCTATAAGAGGAGTTTACAACCAAGTCTGGAGTGGATGCATAATTCCATGTGAAACAAAAAGCACTATTAGCATGTAATCTATGTCTTGTCAGTGAAGTGATTGGAAGGTTACCAGCATTATTATAAATGGTTACCAGATACAGGTGCCGCCTTTACTCCGGCCATACAGAGAATGGACTAAGATTCAAAGATATGAGGTTATCAATATTGAGATATGCGCAAGCAAGAAAAAAAGCAATATAACAATATAGATTTCCGAGAAAAATTCCAATACATTTCCAATAAAACTTTTTGTATTATGATGACACCGTTACTGTTACTGTTACCGATACTGGGATGGGTGGAGAGATCCCTCCTCAAGTGGAGGTCGTCCATATGTGGATGAGTAAAGTATATCAGGGTCTTGCTCACGAGTGAGAGAAGGATGGATCATGAGATTGACAGATGGATCGGTGCAGCGTGTTGAGTGATGTGGTTGCTATATCGGACTGTTGTGGTGAAGAGGGAGCTGAGTCGAAATTCAAAGTTCTTGATTTACCGGCAATGATGAGATCACAAATGCAAGTGGTCAAAATGAGTTTCCTCCACTGAGTTGCGAGGCGCTCCCTTAGAGATAGGGTGAGGAGTGCGGTCACATGGGAGGGGCTCAGTTTTTCGGTCCCACCCGGAGGAGACCCCAAGACCTCAGGACACATTGGAGGGACTGTGTTGTGAAAAGTTGTATTTAGCCAAAAACACATTAAAGCTTCCGCAACTTAATCTGGATTGAGTTATAAATAACATGGCAAAACTCAAGCAGAACACAAATACGATAAATATCGAACCCCCAAAAGTATCATTCATTCCTTCAATTTCATCAAAAATTGAATGATAAGTAATTATTAGTAACTAATGTGACAGGCCAAACACACACAAACTCTGTCTCTTTACAGCAAGGATGTAATTTTTGTTGGGGGTCAACAAAAATTGCAAGGCAAGTTTATTTGTATGTTTGTAGATTATTATTATTATGTATTATACATTATTATAATATATGTATTATATTATTATTATGTATTGCTCATTCATACACATGGCAACAATAAGTGCTTAACAAAACAAGAAAAAAAACATAAAATTCATAAGATGAGTCAAGATATAAATAATCACAGTGCATTAAAAAGAGTGAAGCAATACAGAACTTGAACCTGCAATTCAATTATTATTATTTGAGGTAGTTATGTTTCTTACACAATGATATTTTTATGTTTATTGGGGCTTCTCATTCTATTCTTATATACTGGGGCCGCGCTAACCCTCTTTTGATGTATATTGGAGCATCTAACCCTCTTTTAGCGTATACTTGGGCCTCAAACCTTTACAGGTAGCCAACCTTGTCTTCAATAAACATTCAAATTACAGATTTAGTTTTCTTTGTAGAAAGTTCATTTGAAGCTATTTTTGTACCGATAATTATTTTTCTATCTTTCTTTTAAGTTAAGAAGATAATTTTGTCCATATATTATTATTGTACTGTATTATTTTGTAATCTGAAAACAATAGGCTGTGTTCAGACCAGATCATGCGTTGTGGCGAGTTCAATGCAAAGTCAATTTTGACATCCGCCCATGCAAGTAATTGCATGGACGTTGCGGCACGCACGTTCATCGTGCATAGCAGACGCCTTGTTGCAGCGCAGTAGAGGCGGTGAGTACAGCGGCTGGGTGAGTACAGCGGCTGGATGAATGCAGCGAAAGCACGAGATGAACATCCTCGCTCCACACACGTGCGCCAACCAATCAGAGAACACAAAAGTGGTCACGGGGACAGACGCCGGTCCAAACACCCACTTGAAAACAACCAAAACAGGAGCTAAGCCAGGATTAAACCAGGGCTGATAATGGGGCATGCAGTGCTTGTGAACATATGTCTTCACCCTGAGTTGACATTCTACTGTGACGCCGATGCGGAAGTACCAGCGTTAACCTCAAAGCCCGCCCACCACTTC